TCAACGACTTGGTAGACTTAGAACACAAATTTTATTCAAAACATGAATATTTCAACCCGTCCTCGAGAAGACCCGAGGACGGGTTGAAATATTCATGAGAGAGAATGATAGTATCATGGAATATGGGACTTCGCAGTGGCATGCGCTCTCGTCCGGCGGGGGTCGACAGAACGATGGTGGGGTGGTGGTATAGACCCTACATCTGTGAAAATCCCTCCCTTGTCCGATCCTCTCTATATTGAAATTCATGGATCCGCCACTGATACAATATCATTCATTTCGTCGTTTTCAAAACATACAGTGACAATCATGATTAAAAAACGACACACATTTAAAATTCCACAATGGAATTGGCAACCATATGACCCAAAATGTCCCCCAGCCTCAGAAAGCCACAGGACCCCGGGACCATCGTTACGCCACTGGGACTTAGTAGTTGATGTGCATTCGTCAGCCAGTCAGAAATAAGATGCAGAATTTATTATCACTTTAAAAAGTGACCAGGCATGAAATAATGAGAAATAAACAATTAAGCGGTGTAGGCGATTCACAAAGGCAAGATATCATTATATAGATATGTTGGAAATAATTTAACCAAGTAAACAAATTATCAGTAATGAGCGGTAACTTTAAAGACAAGAATAATCCGTGGATTTATATTCCAAGTAATGTGATAAAAGTCATGGAGTTTTCTAGGAATCTGTCAAGAGTCCATTTGGCTTCAGACATATTTAGTATTATGAGAACTCGTCATCAATGTTGAATATTTACATGGCCGCAGATCATGGGGCCGAGGAAAACGCGTTCCCTCCACTTTAAGGTGGAGTTGGTCCCTCTCCACTTCCCAGCCACAATGTAATTTCATTTAGTCAAGGAGATGGTTTAAAATTGTTTAAATGAACTGTAGGCCTATAAATAACCTAGATTTTAAGGAAAGTAATTCTGCAGCAATTCCATGCCGTTAAATTAACTTTATCCGACATTTCTTAAAAGTCTAGCATAGTCAAATAAACAATCATTTACAACGTCCTGTTGACATATTGGGGTATTGCAGCATGCAGGTTCATTTTTACAGCAGTCGGAGAGGGGATCACATTAATTGTTACTTTTTTGTCCACTGGGCATCTTGTTACTGGGGAATTTTCTGGAGTGAATATTCCAAGAACTGATACATTCCCACCCTCTTCTAGGATTTTTTTTGTTTTTGTTGTTTTATTTTTTTTTTTTAATATTTACGATATATTTTCCGCAGCTATTTGCATACCATCATCATCAGCATCCATCGTCATCATCAGTGTCACCATCATGAAAATATTTAATTAAATGCGTTTTTTATATACCATATCTTTGTCACCATTCGTTTATGTAAAATAAAATTTGAAGTTATTTACTATAATGTGTTGAATTAATTAATTATTATTAATTCCATGAATTTTTCAGTCTTCTTAATCAATAATTTCGCGTCGATACACAGAGAAGGTAAATACTGTGTATTATAAGATAAACAGTGCGTTAATCCCTTCTGGGCTTATAATGATTTATCTCCTTGCTTAAGGTTCAACTACAGTATTTTGCCACAGAGCTGTGATTGGTCGGACCGGTACCTCCATCACACCCATATTATTACGTGTAAAACTTGGATGCTTTCCCACCACCTTCAGTGAGCAGCATCAACACCATCATCAGCCAAGCCACCACTTCGATCAAGCGGGTTACACAGTGCATGTCCTTGTTCGACACACTTTCTAGTTTTTGCTTGTTCATCCTTACAGGCCTATCCAAACGGTAAGTCAGCTTACTATACAAATTAAACAATAAAGTAATCTATTAGCTCATTGTGTTTTTCTTATGATTTTGTATAGTGGTAAGATTGCCAAATAATGTTGACTCTTTATCGTCAATGTATTTATTGCTGTAATTTTATATTAACGCGCCAAAAAAAGAGGTCACTGTGCTGGACACAGCAGCAGTGGCTCAATCCCAGGGTGTCGTGGACGTAGCTATTATGTTTCTAAAAAGGCAATCCGTTGTTACAGAAATAATTACTTGCAACACAGAATTATATCTGTATAACTATTCTGTAAACATAATCAATTCTGTGTTAATTTTTGTATTAACAGACATAATTATTAATTATTACACAATTATTACTGTCAAACGATTAGTGTACAAAATTATTATTTTTTGTTAACATAAATAATTAGGTACTACTTCAGAATGTTTTCTGTATAAACTATTCTGTAACAGAAATATTTCTCTGTAAATTTTGTGTTAACAGAACCAATTGGTACAGTATCACATTTTTTCCGCCAAGAATTTATTCTGTAAAGCCTATGCAAATTAGAAGGCGGAGTTTCCATTAAACATCCAATAGAATCATCAATGTCCAATACTGTCATCAAAAGTCCTTAGAGACTAAGAAAGTTCGCGGGTTTTCAACTCTGCCATACTTGATTGATAATCATGTCCACCAATTCGGATTAACTTTCGTTCTATGTTTTTGATTGATACTGGTTGTTATGATAAAGAACAGTAAACCATTTCTTTCTTTCATTTACAAACACAACCTACTGTATAATATAACATTCATTTTTTTTAGATGCCACACTGCTGCGTATGTAAAATATACTAGGAACCAACCATTAAAATAATTAATAAAACTGTAATGTAATAGATCCTACTACTGCTTATATAAATAACAATTTATTGTTATCGTTTAGAATGAATTGTTATTTAAGAATAATTTTAATAGCATAATTTTAAATATTAATAGTATACTTTTAGATGTTAAGTGTGTACTGTATACGTGACAACACACAACAATAACATACAAATTTGTGTGTAGGCCTACACTGAGAGAAACCAACTGCTCGACATGTGACCTCAACAACATTGTACAGTATTGGAAATTGATTTCAGTGTCAGATTCGAAAGTGTGAGGGTGAAAAAAAATAAATTAAAAAAAATAATGGAGAAAAGAAAAGAATACAGTACTGTATAATTATCAAATTTAGATCTGAGAGTGCCATTTCCGGCCTCTAGAGGTGCCATAATCAAGAGTTTCTGACCTCAGCCCGAACCATGGTCAAACTGAGGTGGTCTAGTAGTAGAGTATCAATCTGTGAAAGTCCCTCCCTAGGCCTCTCTATTTTCAATTCGTGGATCCGCCACTGGTTTATGTCATTCCTTTGCTTTATGCATTCCAGTGTGCTGACCGACCAATCTTCAGTGTCAATGAAGGTTGTCTGTGTAATAAAATATTCCTACTGTACCAAGCCTTGTATTTGAGGGTAGGTAGGTATACTGACAATTAAAGGAGAATAAATTTTACCAGTAAATATTACAGAATAAAATTAACATTCAAGTACTTTGAGGTTAAAAGTTGAAACAAAATTAAATTAAATTAATTAAAACTAAAAAATATGAAAACTGTAGACGCTACACACTTATTATAGTAATAATTATAAACAATGATGTATATATAATAACAACAATAAGGACTACAGTCTGTTATTTATTATTATAAATTGCTAAAAATCAATGATAATTTGTAATGAAGTAAAAAAGTATATACTATTTAATATTTAAAGGTTAATTAAAATGAATCTTAAATAATAATTCATTGCGAATAATACATTAATTTAATTATTTAAATTAAGGGTTGGTTTGTAGTATTGTACTACGCAGCAGTATCTAACAAAATGAATACTGTATTAATATTATGATTTGTTTCCACATAGAAGAAGGTTGTGTTTGTAAATGAAAGGAACTACTGTAATAGTTTACTGTTCTCTATCATAACAAGTATCAAATCAAGTATGGCATACTGTAGCTGAAAACCATCTCTCAAAGGACTTTTGACAGGATTGGACCAGGAAGTTATTATAAATAACAACTCCCTGATTGGACATTAATTATTCTATTGGATGTCTGATGGACACTCCGCCTTGTGGTGGACAGAATTCACAATATGAGGACAGAAAAGTTAAATTTGTGTGCACAGAAAATATTTCTGTGGATACAAATTTGTTTCTGTTAACACAAAATTTACAGAGAACTATAACTGTTACAGAATAATTATTTCTGTTTACGGACTTATACATATATAATTCTGTTGCACATGTCCCCATACAAAGGCATAATCTTACTGCGTATTAGTGTAGTGCATTAATTACATTTTGAACCATGTTGCAACATCATTCCATTCTTTATCTGAGTCCAATATTAATTTATTGTTAATCGTGATGAATACTTATAGTACATTATCATCAATGACATAATATAATCCCTTTTTCATGTTATCTTTGTTGAATAATTGTTCCATTTTCTTGATATTCACAAGATATATTATATGTTTATACAGAAAGATGTCACGTGGAAACCTTGAATCACTCCAGAAATTACCAACTCGCGAGTTGAAGGAGATGTGTCGAGATGCTAATATGAAGGTGTCTGGAACAAAAAGCCAACTGCTAATGCGTCTATGTGGCATGGAGAAGGAAAAACCAAAGACCAGCACCAGAATGTCAGTGAAGGCGGTAAACAAATGGCTTGAGAAACAAGGTGTAGCCAACATCGAATCTGTCAGCAGATGCCTTCGTGCAGGAATCCAGAAGGGTTACATTGACATTAGTGGCGATAGTCCTCTGGATAATGTCATCGGTGTCGATAGTTGTAAATTCTGTGGAGATGATCTGAAACCGACAATCCGTGACCTTCTCTACCAACCAGATTATGCCGGGGGTGACTATGAGGAAGGTGGTGTATATGCAACTGTAAGATGTTCAAACAAAGAGTGTCCTGGCGGTGGTAGTGGTGTATACGTGACACGGTTGTGCTGCAATGAAACCGATTTTGACTCTGGCAAATTTCACAACCACTGTAGAGATTGTCCAGGCTTCGGCAAGTGCACTGGGGACTACCGTATGCAGCACTGCGAGTCATGTAATAGACATTTTCATTCTGGGATCATGGGCTTCCCTTGCCCATGTCAAGGACGACCCGACGATAGAGATGGAGTTGATGATTGTGTTCTCCAGTAGTCTAGAACATTTTTGTTTGTGCCTCTTTTTTATTATCCTCAAAGCATGCTTGTATTACATTTGGCAATACAGCAGTTGCACTAAACTACATTACTAATAAAATACTAATATTTTAAAGTCATAGTTGTATTCTGATACAAATACAGTACGTTCACGTTAAAACCATTTCGATTGTGATTATAATACTTATTAAAGTTTTATGAAAGTTGAAGAATTTGTCATTTGAGTATCATTATGTAGTACTGTATACAGTGTAGCTCAAGGGGTAGTGCCAAGTGGGGGTGGGGTGCAGGGCCCCAGTCAAAAGAGCTGGAAAAAACAATTCATCGGGGAGAAGAAAAAATTATATATATTTTTACATATTAGTATACTGAAATTCCTGAATTGTCATAGTTTCCAGGGGATTCGCCCAATGGATCGCTTTGGAGATTTTGAGCGATGCCCAAACACGCCCACATACACTTTCGTCTGGGAGTAGCTCTACACATTCTTGAGAGACTTGAGATTAGAGACTGATACATTTGTTAATTTGTTGATCCAATACGATTGCAACCTCAACCGACTGTACCGAAAGTGACAGAAAGCAATGCGGCGAGTCGGTGTTTATTTATTCATGGGGTGTTTTTTTTTACAATTATTATTTAGATATAAAACATTATACTGTAATATACATCAAGAATTTCATTAAAATTTAGTAGCATTTAAATTAGGAAAAATGTGGTAAAAATCCACTAGGGGTGAAATATATTGATTATAGTTGCAAAACAAAAAATATTATTATAATTATTATTATGAATAATAATAATGTCAATAACGTTATTAGCAATAACACTACATTCATTAATACCATTACTGTACTTACAATTTTCATTTTACAATATTATAACTACAAATCAAGATTTATAACTAACGATAAAAGGGGATTCATAATAATATTGTAGATCATGCACATTATTAATTACACATTACAGCCTGAGTCGAAAATAGAGTGTTGCATGAAAAAAAACCCAAAATACAGAAAGTTGACTGCCAGTGTATCAAAACCAAGACAAAATAAAAGTAGCCACAGAACTAATCAACAACACTCTAGCTCATTTCTCATAATCTTTAAGTTGCCAGTATTCAGTAATAATAAAAATGGTGTTAGTTAAAATTGAGTATAAATTTAATATAAAGGTCTCCCTCCAATTAAAGACCACTTTTGGGACCAGAGATTCCATTGTCTTTCATAGCAATAAATAGATAAAAGACCTTTGTTAATTTAGGACCACAGAAAAGTGGTCTTTAATTAGGTCCCGTAAAAAATACTGTAATTAGTTTATCACCCCCTTCTCTCATCACATTTAGGGAAATTCTGATTTTTTTTTTTAATTATTATTATTTTAATCAACATATATTTTTGTATACAAACGGTCGTTTTTTCACTTGAAAAGCTCAGGATTTCTTGCAAATATATTTACTGATACAACAAAAACATTTTTTTAAATATAAATTTGATTCCATTCTTATGACTTTTTTTATATATGTGTCCCTTTCTTTGATAGGGTAATAAACTAATAATGTTTTGATGGGGCCTTAGATGGAGACCAGTA